TTACTTTTGGATTCTATGACTTTTTTCTCAACGGAAATATTGTATTTCAAAAGCTTTTTCTCGAACCCTTACAAAATCCTTTTATACTCTTCCCGGTCGCCTTCTGAATTAGAGAGAAAGGCCTTTTTATAAGCTTCGTTTTAATATCATATGCTGAAGCTAGATAGGCAGGCATGTTTGGGCAGTTAAGCGACACTTTGACTAGAGGCACAAATAAACTAATGCAGTGCCTTAATATGAACAAAAACAAGTCATACATGTCCAATGGATCACTGTAATTATTGAAAGAACCATACCAGTCAACAGAACTGAGATAATCATTAATAGTCTCATAGTCGGCTTGTTTGAAATTGTACTTCAGCACAAACAAAACTCTGTTAATAGGACTGCGAATCGCGAAGACAACCGACGCATGATCGCTAATACCAACCGGCGCTGCTGCACTGGTCTTAGAGATAGCATCGGGATTATTGCAAAAGAGTAAATCGAGTACATGTTGTCTTCGGGTGCTGGACGTGACTAATTGAGAGTAACGATAGCTAGATATCATTTCCATGAATGCGCCTGCACGGCCATTGGCCTGTGGTGGACTAGCATCACAGCGGATGTCGGGGTAATTGAAGTCACTCTTTAAAAGACTTACTTTATCACAAGACGTTAAACTGCCGACACAGTTGGATAGTTGCTCATTGTGTTGTGAATTGCATTTGGGAGCTCTGTAAGTAAGGATAAGCCTGTGAGTGCCATTATTCAACTGGAGATCACACGGGAGGATTTCATATGCTTTAGAAATACTTTCATGAGAAACGAAGATCGGAAACAGGGTCCGTCTTATAAGTAACGCTACACCTCCTCCTTTAGTCCTGGGACGGTCGCATCTGAATATTTCGTACGCGGCAATAATTTCTCCAAGTAGCGGCTCAAGCTGACTGTAAGATTTTAACCGCGTTTCGGTAAGGCCCACGACATCATAGTCCCTTGCGGCCATTAAGTAAGCAAGAGATTGCGCATTCTTGTGCAATGAACGAATATTACAGAAATAACAGCGGACTTCATTATTTCCTAACCACGGAGAGCTTACAAGTTTACCGGCGAACGTAAAGAAGTAAGTGAAACATCATTATCATTATTATCACGAACGACCTGTGGTAAAACATTGAATTACAAAAAGATAGATATAGCAAATCCGGCCAACGTCTCTACAGTGTTAATCCTATCACACGTGAATCCCGCACGTCTAAAGGGAAGAATCTGAGTAATGACTGTTCACAATCTGGAAAGATTTTTGACGGAATTGCCGGCGCTCTCCCCGTAGTCGAGTCCTCGTGCATGTTCTTCTAAACTTAAAAGTTCCAGCTTTATGGAGCATTTTTTCACGCTTCACTTTTAGTGGACCGGATCCAATCCTGTCGCTTACCGACAGTGTTCTCATTCTGCCGCCTGTCCGAATCTGAATCTCCTAACTCCGAAGGAGCAACTTTCGCGCCTACACCGCCCCCAGGGGACGAATCTACACCTGTCACCTACTTCAAGGGTTTCCCTGCCGCCTATACTTCTAACAAATTTAAACCTCTAGGGAACAGAAACCATGTATTGAAGACCACTATTAGCGCACATCTCGCCCTTCGTAGAGCCTAGCTCAGCTGGGGGACGGAACTTACGTGCGTCCGAGTGTGCACGCGGCAAAGTTTGTGACAATTTGAACGGCTTCAGCGCCTATCATTGGGACCCGGTTCTGACCTGAGTAGATTAGTAGGATCGTCTGACCATGATAAACTGCTCCACTACAAGTTTGTGCCCCAATAATAGGCGCCAGCGTCGTTCGAATCATCGTAATCTTCGCCGCGCAACTTGCCGCGAGCATCCTCGGACGCACGTATGTACCCATATCCAGCTCAGCTATGTGTTCTCAAGTAGCTCTACTCATTTTCCATATGTTTTTTGTTTTGTTTTACTGTTTCCACTGGCTAGTCTGCACTAGTACATTTCCAGAAAGGTGCTGTAAAAGGTGATGATCAAAAGATTAAGAGGCGAACAGACCGACAGACTTACGGGTATTTGGGTTTGTATTTAGTGAATGTATCATGTTTGGGCATAAAGTCCATAATCGGCGGAGCACGTCTAATATTGCTGATGACTTCGAAATGTCCATATATAGTAAGGACTTCTTCTACGACCTCCAACCACTTCTTCGCGTTCTAAAAAATTACGAATGGTCCTGAATCATTGACTTCAGCCCCGCCCGCCGTGGTGCAAAACTTGTATGGCGATTTGATCACACTCTTCAATGGCATCTGACCGCTCTTTCCGCTCTTCAGAAAAGTTCAGTTCGACAAAGTCGTTAATTTTTAGCTTTAGCCCCTCCCACCGCGTAAAATGGTCATAGATATCGCATTGCAGATATCCACAGGACGACACTGAAAATGAAAAGTGAAGGCCGCATAGTGAATAGTTTCAGAGCAAGTCATAAGGCAAGTTATAGTTGTATTCAGGATTTTGAGTCTGGTCGTGGTCACGTGTCCTATCGCATCACCGTGTTCGCCGTCTACAGATGATGCCGGTCGAGAAACCCAAATGAGGTCAAGCGTAGGGGAGAGGAATACATCATTGTATTCTTAAACGAATAAATGCACCTTAGGGGTAGCGTCCATAAAGGTGGACCCATAGCATTCTTGATGGCATGAAAGTTTACAAAAAGAATCGCTCTGTGGAAGAAAGAGGTCACTCCAGCAATTTGATATCGTCTAAAGCCTGAGCCCTTTGTGCGCTGCAATATTGTATCTCGAACGTACGTGTAAGTAAAACTGCCATTAGATTAAATTCTGATAGGCTCTTGAAAATTGCTGGAAATCTTGAATATCTACACACGTGCATACGTATTTCACAAATGCAGTGAATGGTAATGTCGGTAGTACTGACCTTTAATAATGGCTTACTCCTTCGGAACAGTACCATTAAGCGAATACGCTTTCGCATGTTCACTTATACCCTCATTTATGCTTTAGTATAGCACTCTCGCGCGACTTCTCCTTTTTTCATATTACATGGTGGCTACAAAGTATTGTCCGCCAAATCACATGTCTTAGCCAACCTGTAAATCCCTGTTTTAGATATGCAATATATGCTCGTGATAAAGCATGTCAGTCATGCACTATAGCCAAATTATTGCGACTGTCGGTAGAAGTTTCCCGGAGAATGCGTCTCCTCATCGCGCCACCACTGCACATCTCGTGGAGGAAGGGTGTTCTGCTGCGAAGATTGCAAGAAGGCTGCACATTAACGACAGAACGGTCAGAAGAATTGTGGCCCAGTACAGGGAGCGTGGACACCATCTACCACTTCCAAAATCAGGGCGACCAAGAACTGTCAATGTTCCTCGGATTCGGATGGTGATCAAGAAGAGGAGCTCACACAACGATGAGGTCAGCATGAACAAAATTGCTTAGGATTTGCATATCTCACGAAAAGTGTTCAAAACATTGTGAAATCTGAACTAGATTTACACAGTTACCGCTTCTTCCGAGGCCAAATGCTCAGCGAAGCAGCAAAGAAGAACAGACTGGAAAAATGTCAGAAGCTCCTGGCAGGAGTTCTTACGAGCCGTCTCTCAGACATCGTCTGGACAGACGAGAAAGTCTTTATGGTCGAGGTCGCGCACAACAGCCAAAACCAGCAGCCGATGCTACCTCACCCAGCGGAAAACTCCGGAAAACGACGAATAAAAACCAGGAGCCTGTTCCTGAAGTCGGTGATGGTATGGGCCGGAATGAAATCAAAAGGCGAAACACCTCGTTTTTGTGGATAAAAACATCAAAATCAACTCGGAAGCTTACCCGAATGTTATTTCAAGGGACACACTATTGCCATGGGTCCGAAATCACTTTGGAGTACGGAACTTTATCTTGCAACCAGCACATGGGTCGGAATCCACGATTTCCTTGTGCCGACATCATTTTCCTGGATTCTGAGACAAAGACATGTGGTCATCTAACTCCCCAGACCTCAATCCAATCCACTACTCCGTTTGGAGCTATCTACAGCAGGAAGTGTCTTCTTCATCCCACCACAATTTAGACAGTCTAAAAGCAGCTCTTCAGAGGGAGTGGCAGAAAATTGATGTCGACTACTTGCGGCTCACGCCTTCACGAAGAGATTGGAAGCATTCTGGCCGAAGGCGATCATTTCGAACAGTACCTCGAAGACATATAGTTCTATAGTCGCCTCTAGTAAAATCTATTCTCGGTTTTGGAGCGGTTTCAATTGTATTACCTGCTAATGAGAACGTTACCATAGAATGATCGGATATCGAGAAAGGAGCCTGAACCGAGGGGCTAGTTATGAGGGAGGGACTGTCGTAAGAACTAAATCTAGAGTATTACGGCCACGGCTAGGGTGCGAGACTGTTTGTCTGAAATTGTGACCCTGAATGAAGCGATAAATGAGTGTACTCTGCCTACCAGGACACCCGCTGCCCAGACCCCCAGACGACTGAGACCATTATATATCAAAAAAGTTGAAATCGCCTAGGATAATGAGAGGAGTCTGATTTTGACATAACTCTCCGAGATAAAGAATGACTCTTCAAAACTGTCATTTTTGCATGAGGGGCTACGGTAACAGAGAACAATAATGCATTCAGTATTATCGAAGGAGATTCTTACTGTAAATCACTGCAGGTAGATAGAGAAATTAAGAGACGATATGAGAGATGAGGGTATATTTTCTCTGATTCTGATTTTCCCCGCCCCCTTGGATATCCTCACCTCTGTCGCAGCGGTACACAACATAGGGATGGCCAGCTGATAGAGTACCGTTGTTTATTTTATCAGGTTTGCACCATGTCTCCGTCACGAAGAGGGCGGATGGACTGTGCGCCAGAAGGTAGTAGAGATCGGGAAGCTTGTTGTTTACAGGGCGGGCATTAAATAGAAAAGATTCACAAAGGGAAAAAACTGTAGGCTGATAACTCGATCATGTTGGTCAGATTGAGGGGCCTGGCCCTATGGGGAGATGTTAGGAGACCTGGAAGTGCCGACGATGGATGCATCCATGGATCCAACCAAGCTCCCTGATGAAACTTTGGCTGACTTCGAAGATGAGGTAGGACTCCGATACGGCAGATGCCTTGCATTCTTTAACTGGTGTATTTGGAGGTCTCTGACCACATACTGGAGCTTTCCAACCTTCGCGTTGGCCAAACCTGCCTGTTTGCGTAGGCTTCGGTCCAATTCCAATTCCTCCACTGTGTAATCTCTACGGGCGTACGAATGAACGAAACGCCTTGTTAGGCTCTGTCGTCCCGATTTCATGTGACGCAGTAGCTTGTCCTTCATAGCAGAAGAGGGAACCTCAATTTTTATGAAACGGTCGCGCCCACCTTGATTCCTCGGCTTCACGGGTGGGTGACGATGAGCGTTATTCTTCCTCTTGAGAATTCTTCGATAAGCTCATCATCACCAGAGGAAAAAATCATCTCTCGCAGAAGTTCCTGTTCGAATTTTTTTCGTCGAAACTTCGTCAGCCTGTTCTCCTATTCCAACCCGGGTTATGCGCCTAAGTTTACCTTCGATTTTCTCGCTATCGGCCTTTACTTTGACGAGGGTGGAGTAAAGAAGGTTTTGATCCACTGGGTTCGAACTCTGCAGGCTGGTCATACGCTCCTCCAATGCATCAAGGCAAGGTAGACTTCGCTCTGATGTCGAGTGACTTCTTCAATGCCATCAGTCAATTTGGCTAGAGACAATGTTAGAGCCTTTTCGACTCGTTCGGCAGAGGGGATAAAATGTTCCAACATCATAGAGGCCCACAGAGGGAGATCCTTGCCCTGGTCCCTATCCGTCGTCTTGCTCTGTGACCCACGAGCCATCGAGAATCAGTACAGGCGAAAAGTTGTCACAGGAAGCAGGAGAAAAAGGTTAACCCCAGGAGAGGCAAAGGATTAGAGGGAAGGCAAGTAAAAACTATGAGGGCAGTATTCCTAAAAATAATGAAATATCAGTATTGAAAGTAAATACAAAAAAAAGGAATGAATAGGGGATGGTAAAAATCACGGGAGAGAGAAGAATGGAAAGACCGCCGCACACGACGACGATCAGAGTGATGAGTCGTTCGTTTTCGCTTTGGACTACATTTTTTGGTCCTTGGACAGCCTTCGACTTTTGGATCACTTTTTGTGGTAATCTTGTTACCCTTCGCTTAATTAGAACATTTATTATTCTGTGTCGCAGTATATATTATCCGGGGCTGCTCCCACGTCTCCGAGAGCAGCTCCCGCTTACAATTGCTACTAGTCGCGAAACAGAGCCAGTAATCACGCAGGCAGCCCTTCGGTATCCTCTATCTCTTCTCAGCCGGTAGAACTGGCATGTCTTAAAATTGATGCCTCTTCCTCGTAGCCGCCTCATGTAATAATAAGTTCCGTAAACGTGTTATATTAATCTCATCGTGATCGCTTTTTTGTGGTTCAAATACCTACACGCGTCAATCGCGCAAGTCTTAGCCTTAGGGGACACCGGAGCTTCCATTACTCCCTCTTCTGATCACATCATTCCTCTCTTCGCAGCATTTAAAGTTCTTCGAAGCGATGTTACTAGTGCAGTAGGCATGGCGGGAGTACCTGTTCAGCTTTTAGGATTTGCAACGCTTTCGTTCAAAATCGATTCTCTATCTTTCGAACACCTGGTCTATTTTACTAAGTCAGCCTGTATTTCCGATGTGGCGGACGCTTACAATATCATTCTCGGTAACGATCTTCTTAGGCGCTTGCCGCCATGGTCCATTGATTGTAATAACTGTAACCATCGTTTTGCGGATGAACACTTAAAAATTCTATGCGCGACCCCCGCGGATATCCCCGCAGCCGCCGAGCAGCAGATACCCATCCACGTAGCAGGAACTACCGTACTACCCCCGTCATCCGAGACACTAGTGCATTGCGTAACAGAACAAACCATCGAGATCTCACTCGTATTCGCAACCAACCGTGGAGCACTTATACCCGTAGTGAGTGGAGCAATTTTTGATAAGGTTCATGTGGACCCAACTGGATCGCTCCACACGTCTAAATTAGGTAATAAATACATTCTTGCGATGATTACCACTTTTTTAAACTAGTTATCGCCACCCTTTTACCCGATTGTACGGTGATTACGGTAGCAAAAGATATAGTGTCTGAATGTATATTGAATTTTGGCGTAATGACTCAGTTTGTCTCGGATAACGCTTCCTACCTTGTAGGTGAGGTAATGTCAAAAATAGGACCTTTCCTTCGCACCCATAAATATTATTGTACTCCTTACCACCACGAGGGTAACGGTGCTTGCGAGCCTATTTTTGCTACTTTTCACTCTATGCTCCGCACCTATATCAGTGAAAACCAACTCGACTGGGACAAACAAATACGTTTGTGCCTGCGCGTTCATGTATAACACCTCTATGCACGCTAGCACTGACAATACTCCCTCGTTTCTCATATTTGAACGTGACCCAGTATTTCATATTGATCTTCTTATACAGCATGGTTCTGAGCGTCACATTTCAGCGGATGGTTCACGATTTCACGTGCAAATTCCTGTTACTGTTACTACCCTTCATAACGGCAAAGAGCTAAATTTGGAGCACAGCATGACCGTTAACATTTGTCTCTTCTTCCCACCAAGGAAGGCGACCGTGTTTGTCTTCGCGACCTAGCCCCTAAGCTAGGACTGTCACAAAAGTTATGCTATCCTTGGTTGGGGCAATTTCGGATGCTTAAGGTGGAGCCTTCACACTTCAAAGCACAGTTCGCGGTAATTCAATGAGCGGGTATGTCCATGACGTGTCCGCCACTCATTCGATGTCACGTCAGACAGTCTGACGTGACATCGAATGAGAAGCGGACACGTCATTGACATACGCGCCCACTGAATTATGGCGAACTGTGCCTTTAACTATAGTCAGTATCTCAATGCCTCAATCAGCGCCCAAGAAGGTGCACATGAATTAGGTTAAACCATGTTATACCTTGTCAGGTCCTGTATTTACGACTCCTTAGGTGCCTGAGATCGAGCAGGTGGCGCTAAAAGCAGCTAGTGCGTCAGAGAATCCTATGGAAGGTTGTGAGCATGCGGTAATCGAGGCCCCGCCCACCACCACCCAATCGCCGACCCACTCACATAATACTTGTTACAGCCTCGACATACTTCAATTTGACCTGTTGGTCAGACTCAACGATTATATATATATACTGCATTTTCTTTAGAATCTGCTTCTTCTTTTCAAATGTCTTTTCCCATGTCCGCCTCGCAGTATCGCGTCTTTGTTTACGTTCGCAGCCTTGTCGATCGCACATCTTCAAATGCCACGGCCAGACGCAGTCTCCAATTCTAAGATGTCACGCCCCCTATCGACCATTGATTCATTTCGTCATCGCCAGCTTCATACGTAATCTAATTCTTATTTTTTATGCATTTAGTTATATGGACGCCCTGTCTCTATGCTTCGTTGTTTTCATGTTTCGCCTTATCTACGTGGCGTCGCCTCGCTGCGCGCTTTCTGTCATGAACCCTCGGTTCATGGTGTATTGTTAGCCCCGCCCAGGGGTATAAAGGCACACGAGAGCTTCAGGGAAGACCAGTCACAAGTCACCCTTCGGTGGTCTCCCGACCCGGGGCACGCGTGGCGCGCCCCAACTTTTCTGAGGCTCTCGAGTTGCTGGGCGTGCTCGAGGCCTGTTTACCATGAAAATGGTCTCCTTGTTGTCCACCGCAGGTACCAGCCGTACGTCTTCATCTTCTTCGCGAGGCGCCTCTGCTTCTCTCCGTAGACGTGGAGCCAAACAAGCCGCCTTTATCCTACAGGACCACTCCCCCAAGTAGAAACTTCTCAGCTGCCTCGTAAAACCTCTTTTGAGTTCTCCCACTACCTTATTGAGTTGCACCAGTGGGCAAAGTACGTTAACCCCCGCCCGATTCGTCTACTCCGCGAGGATTGCCCGCAGGTAACTTCCGTCTTGGATGTCAATGATACTGTGCCATCATTAAAGAACAACTTGGTGAAGGATTCGTAGAAGACATCCCTGCTGAACCGCAAACTTCCAGTCCCATATACTATATACCCCATCAAGCAGTGATAAAGTCCACTAGTGCAACTACTAAGACCGAATCGTACGACGACATCTACGTTTCCTCGCAACGAGCCTGCTCTCCATGGAGCGACGAATGCAAGAAATAGAGCATATCATCGTGTGGGGCCGGTGGCCCACCAACGATCAACCGGCTCCCCAACGAGAAAGGGGATGAAGCCGAAAAGCAAAATCACCGCAGTCAAGTCAAAGATGTTGAAAGTAAAGATGTCAATTATTCAAGTTGCGAATAAACTTTGATAGAATGAATCTTTGTTTAAGCAAAAAAAAAACACACTAAACACAAGAGGTTTCAAAACTTACCATCACCGGCTTGTCCCCCACATGTTTCGACTGCTCGGTGGTAGAATGCTCGATAGGATATTTATTTCAATATTTATTGGGTTAACAAGTCATAACTACAATTCGTACCATTACAAGGTCAAACATTCTGAGGACCCCCTTATTACCACTTTTAGGTCTCATCCGGCCCACATCGACCTCCCCAATCGCATAGTTTATGCCGGACAGCTCAATAGTGGTACTTCAGTGCAGTCTCGCCAGATCCTTTTGACCAGCGTGCGTTTCCCTGCGCCTATTATTCCATTTATGTTCAAATCGTATTATTATGAGAGCGAGGTCCAATCTTGTCAGCAGCTCCTTGAACACATTGTCCGCTTGAGGTTCCGCCCCGCTATATCTGTGTCATCACATTTTATAGGGAACAATATCGACAAATTAAGCCCAACCTGGACAGCCTTGACACCTGGAACTGACGACGGTCGACTCCGTTCAAGGGAGAAAGAAGGACTTACTACCAAAACTGATTTCTCTCCAGCGACAGCCGAGTTTCTCAGCGATTATCGTTGCCACAACGTAGCTGTCTCTCGCTGCAGGCATGGTCAGATCTTATTTAGCCATGCCGAATCATTAGGGAAGGTTCCTACATGGAACACTCTCTTGCAACGGGCAGATTCTTTCAGAGCGGTCGTCCCAGCAGATCAGTTACACCAATATCTACAGCGTCCCCACTGAATTCCGGTAAGAATCTTCTTTTTTTTCTTTTTTCCTGTACGTTCTTAAAGTCCGGGTCGGACCCCAAAGTGACTACAAGGTGACCGTGATGTTACAAGATGACTCATTACGGAATTTCAGGGCGGAGCGGCGACCGAGAAGAGCTTCAACGAGGAGTCGACGGGAGCGCAACACCGAACGGCAGCCCCAAGCTTTCTTTCTCTCTGAAGACGAAGCCCTGGACACCACGAATACATCCTTCTTGATCTCAGCCTCTGTCTCATGTTATGTAATTATTATTGTAATTATTATGTTGTATGACTGGTCGTTATCATGTAATTTACTGATTCCTATTGTTATATGATTGTCTATTTTTGATGTCATTAAGATAAGTTATATATGATCTAACAGTTTCCTACAGAAGCATAGACTGAGCCCGCTTCCCTGTGCGCGAGAGCACACTGTGATCAGGAAGCTCGAAGATTGGCTGATGGGTTATCACAAGTTTTTGACTTGAAAATATTTAGGAAGTAGAGAATAGTAGTCCGAGGCGTCGAGGAAAAGGAGTTAAAGAGTAGAGTGTGGAAACAATAGAAACCTTCAGTTGGCCGCGCAATAGTGGATCCAATTCACGTGCACACGGTGGGCCATGTTCCGTGATTCGGCGAAATGCATAGAAGGTGCAATACAGTATCCAATGAGCCACACTGGTGTGGGTTCCTCTACTCAAACGGCTTACCGCGCCTGCGTCACCCGATTGCACCCAGCTTCACATGTGAAGGGAAAGATTTGAATATGCAGTGGAAGGCTGTGGTAGTTGAACTGTATCGGGTAGAAATATCGATACCAAACTACTGCAGAACGTTGCAAATCAACTGCATGAGTAGTCTGAGTTGTTTTACGATAAAATCGTTTTAACACTTTATAAACTAATGCTGAGAACTGAATTAGCTCCTAAGTATGAAGGAACATACATAGCGAAAATGAAACCATATTCGTTACTCAGCCAACCAATGCTACCATTTCTGGCAGGCCTATGACAATGACACATTTCAACCCATATTCGACTTCATATATTTATGTTTGTGAAGAACTGAAACTTTCAAATTCACGGTTTGCGGTGTTGTCGACCACATTCGACACAAAGTAATCGTTTGAAGAAAGATGTCCCTTTGAAAGATTGTTATAGGGTTCTTGTTATGATACTGGCTTTCGTGAGTTCAGATTTGGAGAGACAGAAGTTATCAAAAATTATTGAAGGAGTACTGGATGCAATGCTCTTGAGTAGTGGGCATATCTGACAAAGCATTTCGAGATTCCATATAAAGCACCCACAGGGAAGTGTTAGTGTTAGTGCTCTCGCCGAGTGTTGGCGCGAAGTCAGGCCCGTCAACTCACCTCAGGATGAGCAATATTGATCCCCAATACAGCTTGGCGCGTGTGCGCGGCAATTGGTTCATTGTGTTGCGCGTGGCCTCACTTAAGCGTTGCTCTCTGCGCTCGCCCCTCCCACACGCGAAAATTCTTTTGTTTTGATCATTAAAAACAATGTAAACGGATCGATGAACCATTGTGGCTCACTTGCTCTCATTTCATGCTCTCACTTGATGGATTTCTAGGTGAAAATTCTTACGAGAAGATCTTTTCTCTCTTGCTTGACTATTATCTTTGGCCAATTCTTCGTTACTCTCAGCACAACTTTCTTCAGAAAATTTTCTGCCTAGAGGGAAAGCAGGAGTCCGCTCTCTATACATTGTCTTTTTTTGTGTTCTTAGCAACTTGGCTCTTCTGCGTTGTGCAAAGTGTGAATGAACTAGATTTTGAAGCTAACAGGTGAAAAGTTACGCTGATAATAACATTAGGCTGTGCTTCATTCTTCCATCCCTTGAATTATAACCTCACTGAGGATGTGGTCGATGCGCCTGGTTCCAACTACCGATTCGGTTCCTAAGTGTGATGGCGATGGCGGCTATTGAGTAGAGTGTGGGCAAACGGCTTGTTGTTCTACATTAATTCCTAGGTCTCACGTCTGATAGAGTTTGAAATTATGACGGTATCGCAAGAAATCGACCGAACTACTTGATGCGGTTTTACAAGTTGTGAAAAACTATACAACTAACTAGCGATAAGGGATTGGCATGGAGATCCATTGAGCAGTACCGTCACTTTGGGCAACGTCATAAAACGGAAGGGTCCATTTCGAGACCACTAAAGGGCTCCCAATCGGTATATAGTTATGGAGTCTTACCATGTCACTGACTTTCGTAAGTTCAGTTTAGGAGAGATAGGGGTGATCAAAAACTCTTGGAGAAGTATTGGGTACAATGCTTTTGAATAGTAGAGGAGTCTTTTCTTTGACAAAACAATCCAAAATCCCTATATAAGGTCCATGAAACTGTGTCGGTACTCTCCTCGAATGTTGGCGCGAATTCAGACTGCGTCTCTCAGGATGTTCAATATTCGATCCGAACATGGCGTGGCGCGCTTGCGCGGCAATTGGCACTGTGAAATGCACGCGGCCTCACTTAAACGTTGCATTCCGTGCTCGCTTCTCCCATAGGCAAAAACTCTTATATTCCTTACTATTCATATTCTTACTTTAAAAAGTTTACAAAGCCTTAATTCTAAATCTTGGAAACAATGTAAACGAGCCGGTGGGTTTTCGTGCTCCTTTGTTCGCGTCTCATGCTCTCACATTGACACTGAAAAATTCTCTCGAAAATTCTTTCCTGTATTTCTTTGGCCAAATGTTCGTTATGGTGCGGTGGGCAAATTTTCTTTATTTATTTTTCTTTCTATTCGTATTAGATAATCATATCCCACCCACTCAAGTGCTCCTACCATACTTAAGCTTAGTTTAAAAAACTACGTTTCCTTGGCTTAACCTGCACAAATCCGCACAGATAGCCATTGCCCATCCTTCTCATCGTCTCTGATACATCGCTTATATAACAAGGATTGACACTGACATAACAAGGATTCATCAAAGCGGAAACGACCATACCCAACTCTCGCCTCGTCTGGCTGAGACGAGGCGAGAGTTGGGTATGGTCGTTTCCGCTTTGATGAAGGCAGTCCTTCTCATAAATGCTTCAAAGTCAAGAAAAAGTCATAGCTTCTGTAATTTCACCAATTTAGCTCTGCGTAGGACTCCAGCAGTAGCAGTGGGTAGAATAACAAGGATATCTGCAGCTACGAGGTAGTGAGAAGTAAGTTCTTTTCTCGTAGAAATCCCTTATAAATTGAATTTTCAAATAATAGCTTTGTTCAGTATAGCAACGAACAGCCAAAGATCGTTGATACGTGTCACGCTATGTTCCCCGAGAAAGAATTGGAACCTATTGAGGAGAACGATCCTGATTACATGGGTGAGGGCGACGAAGATTTCACCGATGATGATAGCGATGAAGATTACACCGATGATGATAGCGATGAAGATTACACCGATGATGGGAGCGACGGAGAGAATTCGGATGAATACGACGACGAGGAAGCGGATGATTACGATAGCGAGGATATGGTTGATTACGGTAAGGAGGATATGGATGATTACGATGACGAGGATATGGATGATTACGATGTCGAGGATGGGTATGAGGATGACGATGAGAATGTAGATGAGCATATGGAGTCAGATGACTAACTTTTGTACTTGAACCTAATGCCAAATAGGTCTCGTTATTGTGTTCCTTTCTTATCATTGTTTTGTGTATTGATTATGTAAGGTCACAGAATGCTTCTTCTTGCGAAGTTATGTTCATTGTTATGTTTTTCGTTGTACTGTTTGGTAAACATTCGGAAAAAGCCACATAAGGTACACAACACAATCGGTTAAGAACACGATCTTTAACAACCCACCACTGGTCGTCATATCGCACGTACGTACGTCCTGCACCCTTTCATACACTGTGGATGATCCCTCAGGCAAGGAGTAGCACTTCTAAGCACTGGCATTCCCCATGACAGGGAGTGTATTCGGTCATTGGCATAGGCAACAGTGGGGTCAACTCCGATGAAAAAGTGGGATTGCCTTAAATGTTCACGTTCATCGTTTTTGTTGTAGGTTTAATAAAGCCAGTGGTGAAAACACAATAACAGCTGCAGCTGCGAATAATATGAAAAAAGGAGAAGTCGCGCAAGAGTGCTATACTAAAGCGTAAATGAGGGTATAGGTGAATATAGTAATGGTACTATTCCAAAGAAATAAGCCATTACTATAGGTCAGTACTACCGACACTACCAGTCACTGCATGGGTCAAAAACGTGTGCACGTACGCGAATATTCAGGATTTCCAGGAACTTTCGGGAGCCTATGAGAGTTTGATCTGATGGCAAACTTACTTACGTACATGTACGTTCGAGACATAATGTTGCAGCGCACAAAGAGCTCAGGCTTAAGACGATATGAAAACTGCTGGAGTGACCTCCTTGTTCCACAAAACGATTCTCTATTGTAAACTCTTCATGACAACGAATTCATGTACCCTATGCTGATTACCATTGCCTAGCCGGTTGTCGTCACTCCCACTGCTGCCTGCCGGTGCAGTATTGGACGCGCACTACCGTCTCCGCTATTAGATCGGCTGCGCAGCGAATTACCACGCTGGCAACAGCCACACGAGGGGTGGAGTGTAGTCGCATCGCCATCAGTCTTCTTCCGTCCTTCGACTAGTCGTCAGACGGCAACCTTGCTCGTCGGACGTCCGTCCTGTAATCCTCATCTAGTTGTACACGTTGCCTCCTTCCGATTCGGTTTCCAATCGCCTGCCGGAACGCCTAGTCTCCGTGGCGTGGTAGATGACCATAGCTCACCACTGCGAGGTCATATTAAGGATAGCTCCTACGCAGCTACGACATCTTAACCATGCTGTGATGGATATTGTAGGAACACAATTTGCGCATGAAGTTGTCAGCCACACTGTATTGTCGTAGCACAGGCTCCTCGACAAAGCACTGGGCTAATGCTCCGAGGGCGAGAAGTGTTAAGACCTTTAATAGATCAGGAAGTTACCCATAGGTTTCCTAGTGTTTCCTTTCTGTTGCCTGTATGAAGCTCAATATAGTCTATCATGGTTTATTTCTGAAGGAAATATCAAATTTCACTGATGTAATTATTTGTATCATTGCTCGTAGTCTTACAAAATACAATCGTAAGCATGGCATGAATATTACAACTGTAGGCATTAATGACATTAATAAGCCCACATTCACCGAGCAGATAATGGCTAAATAACTAACCCGTATGGAAGAAGTTTTCTAATAACATCAAGAAATTCTTTCAAAAAACCAAAGTGAACTACTTGAACAACCTCTAGGAGATAGTGAACATGATCAATGAAGGTTCCTATATGGACAAACACTCTACGAAAAAGATCACCAACTCACAGAGGAGTAGACAAGTGGATATGTCTAGCAAAAGGCGCATGGAAGGTGCTTTGAGTCCCCGAAAAACCAAGTAAAGGCGACTCCACCCCCAAATGGACGTAACGTCGTGTAAGGAAGAGAGCGTTAGAAAATGCCATCAGGTGAACGTTCCGACTCACCTAACCAACAACACAGCCTCGCTCCTCAAATACTGAATGTTTATTGATTAGTTTGCAGTTGTACCATGAACATGCAAGGTAGAATATTAGCGTCACGATCATAGTAACAAAGGGAGATGAGGTGACATACGTAGGGTCACTCAATCATTTTCTTCTGCTTCGAATATCGCTTACTACATGCATCGCGGTCAGAACCGTCGTACCACCGTGTGCAGGCTGGCAAGTATGAACAGCGCACATACCCTACCTTCGCAAAAAACCGCAACCAGCCGGGACACTCACTGATCGGGTGTGTTTTGGTAGAGGGCCCAGTGAGAAACAGTTTCGGAGCACAAAAGTAACCCTTGGAGATTGCGAGATTTCGTCTCTCAGACTGCCGTATTTGTATAGCCATAAATTTGTAAATGCTGAGAATTTGTGACGCCTTTTTACTAAGTAGTTGCACATTCCTTTCCAGATGAATAACATGATTTACTCCAATGTACATAAACGGCAGACAAAAATAACTTTTGAAGAACTTTCAAATTTGACAATTCTGAATATACACGCTTTTGACCCATACAGTGACTGGTGGTGTCAGTCGTAATGACGTGGAATAATAGCTCGTTTCTTTGAAATATTATCATTTACAAGGTGCGTCTTTTATGTTTACACCTTCATTTATACTTCAGGATGACACTTTCGCGCGCGCGATTTCTTCTTTTTATAGGTTTGCAGCTGCATCTGCTTTTTTTGTCCCCGTTTAAATCTGGTAAACCCAAAACAACAACGGCGAACGGCAACAGTTCAGGCAATTCCACTTTCTCATCAAAGTTGGCTACACCGTTGCCTGTGCCAATGGCCAAATACGATCCCTGTCATGGAGAATTCGGAGGTTACAATTAGATTTCACCTTGCTTGAGTGATCGTCCAACATGTTTGAAAAGGTGCAGGACATACATGTGATATATCGACCGGTACTGGATTGAAAAAAGCTGTTGAAAAAAACGTAACCAAGAGTGTTGTATACCTTATGTGGCTTTTTCAAAATGTTTACCAAACAGTACAACGAAAAACGTAACAATAACGGCGCAAAAAAGAAGCATTTTGAGACATTATATAATCAATACACAAAACAATGATCATGCAAGGAGAGCAATAAGGAGACCTGTCTGGCACCAAGTTCAGGTTCAGAAGTTCACTAGGCATCTGACTCCATATTCTCAACAATATTCTCATCGTCGTGTCCACCCGCATCCTCGTTATCATAATCATCCCCATCCTCGTCGCAGTCGCAGTCATCCGAATCCTCCTCGTCGCTGTCATCATCATCTTCATCGCTTCTATCCAATAAATCTTCGACTTCATCGGTTGCATCCCTAACGAACGCGAATTCGGGGAACACAGCGAAAACCATATCAGTGATCTTATGCTGCCCGTTGCTATACTGAACAAAGATGTCATTTGCAAATTAGAAGTATGAAGGAAGTACAACAGAAAGGACTCACAATTTTCACAACGCGTCTCGTAGTTACGGAAATTCCTGTGATCCTACCCCCTCCTGCTTCTACCACAGCATCACGCAGAGCTAAATTGACAAAATTATAGGAGCCAGACTTTTGCATACCTTTAAAGCTTTTGTGTGGAGGACGGCCATCAGAGCGGTAGACCACAGATCCCCTTTACTGCCCCGTCTCAGCTGCGTTTTCGGAATTCTGAGCGTATTGTGAGCCGATAGCTTCATCATCAAGAAGATCTTAATGTTGACAACGATTTTTACTTGCCTGCCCGTGACTTTCAGTAACAATGCTGACAATTAGGGCTGTGGTTTTCGTTCAAAATCACCCAAATTCAAAGCACCCCACCACATTCCAAAGTGGATTGCACCTTACAGAGATCACACCTTCATGTGCTTGAAGAATTTTGAATTTCCCATGTTTAGTCACTGATACGCTACCCTATTGCTATGTCTAATAAACAATGGCGAGGTGACAAAGATTTCAGTTATCGTGGGCTTTTATTATCCTTCTGGAACTGCATCAATAGCAAAATGTAAAGGAACCTTTTAATTGAAAAGAAGACTCAATGACTTATCTCGGCTCGATCGTTCATACTCTCTGTCGATTATAGCCCGGCAGCTACAAACGAGATTGTGGGTGTAGTTGATCTGAAGAGTATAGGTATATGTGTAACCAAGATCACGCTGACACCGAAAATTTTGCACATCACAGAGAAATGAGATATGTATGGGCAACATTTCATACTTCCGGAGGTGTCTAGAAATAAGGAAATCAACAGTGGGCAATCTGTAAAAATCAGCGGAGATCAGTACAATAAGACTAGTTCTCATACAGATAGTTCAGGCAGAAAAAAAACATCCTTGAAGTTATGTATAATTTATTAATTTATGAAATAATTTAATTTATTTATAAGTAGAGCACCACATTTCCTCGCCGAGGGCAACCACGCAATAGTTGGGACGTGAACTCAGTGTATTCAGAGGGTGCGTTTTTACGCATACATCTCCGTCCCGACGCGTTACACTGCATAAAAACCGTAAGGTACTACAATCGTGCCCTCTGAGCCCGTCGTGAAAGAAAAAGCAACAGACTCAGTACTGCTGTAACATATTATATTTCACAACCGCACACAGGCCTACTTCAATGCATACGCCCCTTCACATAACAGAGCTATCCGAAGAAGGATTAGGCGATCCCTAGAGCGGATGTGCGCGTATACTCATTGGCTGCTTTCATACTTCGACGTGCTTGCGGCACGCAGGTGAATCGCAGGTACATTTAGCAAGGGCGTGCGAGCGGCTATGCGACGGCGGCACTATCCAACTGTGTGACAGCAGCCATCTTCCATTTGCGGTAACGAACGGTACCCACTGCTGTCACACAGTTGGATAGCGCCGCCGTCGCATAGCCGCTCCCACGCGGCACGCCCTCGGGGTATGAAAGCAACCATTAATATGCTGTGTTGCGGCATCACCAGGCTTTCAAGTGAGGACCCACGGCTGGATTACGGTTTTAGCCGAGCGTACACTCCAATATTCGTTTTTGTCGCCGCCCCAGGGAAACTATCTTTCTTTAGCTGCCTGCCTCGTGAGTGCACTAAGCAGGTCGAGTGGTACCCCTTCCACACAAAACTTCACTCCTTCACAAAAAGAGTGTTGTTAACGAGGTTTCAACGTGTATCGGAGGAAAACAAAGAAAGAACACCCAAAACTCACATATTTTTCCGATTCCGGGTGTGCGCTATCTACAAAAGCTGCGAGGAGGACGACTGTCTCAATATACTCAATCAGCAGCCTAATGCAGTGCATACAAAGTGTGCCGTTCGGGTGATGGATCCTTCTACCACTAAAATGTTGGGAGCTTTGCGACATTCAAAGTATAGTGAAAATGCAGTCGTGATGAACAACCTACCAAGAACAGCGTCCGTTCCATTCAGGAGTGCTCATGGTTGCATTAACGTTTTTGGCTTAGACCTGGAATCAATTCTATTATACAGACAACAGACAATGGATTACACCAGGATCCTTATTTCTGGCGGATACTTTGCAAAAGGAGCTCCACAAGGACGAACGAAAACAGATTATTTAGAGGAATCGACCAACCAAGCACATTACAGAGTACGATTGCCGACTGCGCAATCATTCTCCAACACTGACAATCAGAAGAATAATCGTAATCAGGATCGGGCACACATTCTCATCTTGTTGCGAAGTTTACATAGATTGATGTGGTGCATGGTCACGAAGCTCGAACAATGGCATGGGTTACGACAAAAATTCGCTTCGCGTTGATATAGTAAATACAGAGTAGAAGCCAGAGACGTTAGGAAAGCGCACAGAAGCCATCAGTTGGCCGCGCAATAGTGGATCCAATTCACGTGCACACGGTGGGCCATGTTCCGTGATTCGGCGAAATGCGTAGAAGGTGCAATACAGTATCCAATGAGCCACACCGGTGTGGGTTGGGGGACACACGATTCGTGCGATTCCGGGTGCGCGCGGCAACTTGCGCGGCAAAATTCGCGATGATCCAAACAGCTCCAGCGCCTATCACTGGGGCACAAACTTGAAGTATAGCACTCTAGTAGGGTCGGACAATCGTACTAACCCAGTTTACTTCAAANGGGCCCCACTGTTGAACGCTGCAGGTCCAAGTCGCAGCGAACTTCGCCGCGCAATTTGCCGCGCGCACCCAAAATCGCACGAATCGACACACACCCATTATTCTGCCATTATTAACAGTTAAGCATGATTTCACGCTTTAATTTCTACATTACATAGAGCAGTGTGAGAAACGGTCTTGAAGGATTCAGAATCGTTTGAAAAAGTGACGATGACCTTTTGGAAGATTACTATGGAGTTCTCGTCATTTATTGGCTTTCGTGAGTTCAGAATTGGAGAGACAGAAGTGATCGAAAATTATTGGAGGAGTTCTGGATACAATGCTCTCGAATAGAAAAGGCATATTTGACAAAGCATTTCAAGATTTAATATAAAGCGCCCAGAGGGAAGTATTGGCGCTTTCGCCGAGTGTTGACGCGAAGTCAGGCCACGTCACTCACCTCAAAATGCGCAATATTGGACCCGAACACGGTGTGGCGCGTTTGCGCGGCTATTGGCTCAGTGCGATGGGCGCGGCCTCACTTAAGCGTTGCTCTCTGCGCTCGCCCCTCCCACACGCCAAAATTCTTTTATTTCAAACATTAAAAATCCTAAAATCGTGCTCACTTGCTCTCATTTCATGCTGTCCCTTGATGGTTCTACGGCGAATACTCTTCCGAGAGAATATTTTCTCTATTGATTGGCTATTTTTCTGGCCAATTATTCGTTACTCTTAGCACGATTTCTTCATGAAATTTCCTTTTAAGAGGGAAAGCAGAGATCGTTCTCTCTAATTTTCCATTTTTTATGTTCTCAGCAGTTTGGCTTCTTTTTCCGCGTCACTGCTTGTGTGAATGATCTAGATTTTCAACCTTTCTAGCGGAAAATTACGCTGGTAACAACATTAGGCCATGCTTCATTCTTCCAACGCTTGATTCATAGCCTCAGGAAAGATGTGGGCGATGCACCTGGTTCTAACTACCGATTCGGTTCCGTAGTCTGCTGGCGATGGCGGCCATTGAGTAGGGTATGGGCAAACGGCTTGATGTTCTACATTAATTCACTAGGTCTCGCAGTCTGCTAGATTTTGAAATTAATGGCGGTATCGCAACGATACTGCACTGAACAACGTGATGGGATTTTACAAGTTGTGAACAACTATACAACTGACTAGCGATGAAGAATTGCCATAGAGGTCAATTAAGCACTACAGTTGCTAGAAGGCTTCGTCCTGGAACGGGTTGGACCACTACAATACCTCTGAGCGGCTCCCAATCGGTACACAATTATGAATCCTTACTATGCCACCGACTTTAGTGAAATCAGGTTTGGAGAGACAGAAGTGATCAAAAACTTTTGGAGGAGTATAGGGTAAAATGCTTTTGAGTAGTAGAGGAGTTCATTGACGAAACGATCCAAAATCCCTACATAACGTCCATAAAACTGAGTCGGTGCTCTCCTCGAATGTTGACGCGAACTCAGGCCACGTCACCCACCTCAGGATGTTCAATATTCGATCCGAACACGGCGTGGCGCGTTTGCGCGGCAATTGGCCCAGTGCGATGCGCGCGGCCTCACCTGAACTTTGCCCTCAGCGCTCGCCCCTCCCACACGCGAAAATCCTTTTATTCTAATCCTCAAAAACAATGTAAATGAATTGATGGAATTTCCTTGGCCCACTTGCTCTCATTTCACGCTGTCACTGGATGGTTCCACGTCGAAAATTCTTCCGAGGAAATCTTTTCTCTTTTGCTTGACGATTTTCTTTGGCCAATCATGCTTTACTCTTAGCACAAATTTCTTCAGGATACTTCCTTCCGGAAGAAAAAAGTAGGAGATCGCTCTCTCTACATTTTCATTTTTGTGTTCATAGTAGTTTAGCTGTTTTTTCCGCGTTACTCCTTATGTGAGTGATCTAGATTTTCAAATTGTTTGCACTTGAAGCCGTGCTTCATTCTTCAAATCTTTAAAAAGGCGACCNGTCCCGTAATCTGGTGGCGATAGCTGCCATGTAGAAGACTGTGAACAAATGGCTAGATGTCCTACCTTAATCCGCTGAATTTGGAGAAGTCGCAGTCAGATGAAGTTTAAAGTAGTGGCGATATCACAACGATACTACACTGAACTATTTGATGCGATTTTACAAATTGTGAACAATTATACACTGACTTGCGATGAGGAATTGTCGTAGAAATCCATTAGGCAATGCCGTCGGTTTAAGGCTAACCATCTAGAACGATTGCTTCAACTCAATACTTTTAAGAGGCTCACAACTTGCACATCCCCAGACGATATTTCTTGGGTACAGAATCCATTCTCTGAATTTCTACTAGTAATGGGCAGCTTCATTGTAACTTCGAGCACAGCGTAGCGTTTGTCATGAATTTACATTATTAAGCCACCACTAACTCGCCTTTGTCAAGGATGTCTGTCACGCCGCTCCGTGATGAGCCTAGCTCGAGAATATCCTTTATTTCCCATTTTAATCACGTGATTTTTCAAGTGACCTGACGAACCTATAACTCCGTGCGCTCTCTGAGTTTCTTGTAGCCCATGAGCTTCTTTTACCAAAATTCTTATATTTTTCTTTCGTTCTTTTTTATTCGCTCAAACTATTTCTTAATGAATGTATACAGATTAGACAACGTGTTCATTATGTCACAACAGGAGCAGGGGGAGCAGGGGGAGCAGGGGGAGCAGGAGCAGCAGGGGGAGCAGGGGGAGCAGGAGGAGCAGGAGGAGGAGGAAGGTGTAGCTTGCCTCCGCTGGTAAGCAGCTTGTAGTTACTGTTTTATTAATATTATATTCACCCCATTCAACATTGAATTAACGAGGTACTAATAAATCAACTTATATCACTACTTCACTTGAACTTTTTAATGAGTATTCACATTCACTGTTGTGATTCTCCAGGCTCTATGTTTCCAGCATTTATTTTAGCCTTACTGGAACGCCGATTCACTCAAGGTTTTATTGCCCTTCATGTTCTGCGCACATTTATCGGTGTAGGAGGGCAATCGTGGAGACGTACTGTCAAGGAGACCCCAACAATGTGGCTCGGAGGATCCGTGCGGAGGTAAAGTTCCGTGTTTTTCTATACCAGTTGGGGTGTGAGTCACCAGTGAGCCGTATTGGTCAGTGAGATCACTATTAACAGTATCAGTAGATTACCTATTTCATAACATGCTCCCCATCTTTGTTAGCATTTTCCAACGTGACATTACCTAGTCCTCATCGTGCCTACGTGACTTGAGGGCTGGAACATTTACCCAACTTGGGATGGACGCGGTCAACCGCGCGGCGAAAGTCGTGGTGATTTATACTACTATGGCGCCCTATCATTGAGGCACAAATTTGAAGTAGGTTGGATAAGTAGCATCAGCTGGCCCAACATATCCAATCTACTCAAAACCTGGGCCCCAATGATAGGCGCCAGAGTCGTTTAAATCACCACGAATTTCGCCGCGAGGTTTGCCGCGTCCATCCAGAATTGGGTGAATGGCAACTTTCATAGTCCACCGGCTGGCCCGCGACCGCGCGCGTCGGCAGGGGGTCTACTCGGCCTGCGGTAACAATCAAGATTCAGTTCTAAACAGAAGGCAAGCGCCGCCCCGGGCGGAGGACTATGAAAGCAGTCATGTACCCATAACCACATGACTTTCTGCGGACAGGCACACAAACCGTCGTACAAACGAACATACAAAGTTAGCACTTTATATTTATAGAGATGCTAATAGCAGAAATGAATTCCTAATTCATTGAATGATAAAGGCGTTGAACGAAAATGGAGGCACGAGTGTCAATTTCTTGACTCTACAGACCTGCTTTATTCCTTCGACTGCCTCGATTCGCCTCACTGACACAGGCACCACCTACACTTAGACTTCCATACATTTCCCTTCGTCCAGTAGGTGCCTCATCGTGTCGAAGCTCAAGATTATTTCTTCCGACACTTTTTAGACCTCTTTACTCCCCAACTTCGGAAACTACTTAAATCATCTCGATCTATGCATGATGGTGATGGATGAATCAATTAGCCCCTACTACACTTCTGAGAAGATTTGGCACTTCGAGGCATCATGAATTGATTCATTCAGAGAACGTTTAAAACAGCAGCGAAGTCAGTGTAGGAAACCGAAGAACGCTTGATGATTTGTTCGGAAATGAATGGAGCAGTACCGACTTCTCATGTGACTCACAAGAAAACCTGGCTACACCCTCGCAAGCTCAGTGCCGAAAGTTGGAGCTCCTACTCTAGAATGGTGGTGACTGTTATGGTGCTTGTGTATTAAAACTGTTGAATCAACGAAAAACACAGCCTTGGACCACCAATCAACGCGAAAGTGCAATTTCAAAGTTAGAGAATTGAAGGCTGCTTTCATAGTCCACCGGCCGACAAGCGAGCGTGCTAGCGCGCCGCCGGGGGGACTACTCGGCCTGCGGTATCGATCAAGATTCAGTTGTAAACAAGTGCCGAGCGGCGCCCCCGGCGCGCTCGCGGGCCGGCCGACGGACAATGAAAGCAGCCAAAGGCGCACAGCGAAAACCGCTGCGCAGCCGCACGCAGGCGGCAAAAGATGTCCTTGGAGTCCTGAGCTCAGTAGCACTCCTCTCTGTAACACCTGCTCCGCTTTTGAGACATATCTAGTGCGCTATTCCATAATCATCGTTCCCTACCATCGTTTTGATCAGGCAATATCTCCCTAAATCCAGGACATCTGGTGCGCCCGTCGACTATGTGACTGAGCGTAACGATCGAAGATTATTGCTGCCACTTGCCTTCGGCTTCAGCAAAGTTGTTTCAACATGAGTTCCTTGGAGCTCTCCTATTTGGACAGGGCCTGCCGTGAGAGCATTTCCGAGTCACTGCTCCTCCGTCTGTACAGGAAGAATCTGTTCTCTGGAACAGTAGCAACGGATAAAAGTGTCAGCATTACACTCAAGAGTCATTGGTAACATCCTTCAGAAGATATTAGAAAGGGCGACATCCGTCGAAGCAGCGGAAACGTGGTCCACAGGAGAAGAGGGTTTGTTGTATTGTTTGTGAAATTGCGTTGGAATGACTTACCACGAGTTCTCGGATGCTGGCACATCTGTAACGGCGACGGTAAACTTGAACCAGAGGGTGGCTGACGCGTTCCTTCAGTATAGCTATCTAGAAAACTTTCTTTTGCATGATAATGCTGACTCGCACGTAGCGACGGTGATACTCCAGAATATCCGGGTGCTAAGAAGAACTACCTCCTCCACCGTACTTGCCGGACCTATCACCTTCTGCCTACTATTTGTTCCGAGCATTAAAACGCGAGCACCTACGAAATAAGGAGTTCGATTATCAAGGTTAGCTCGAAACTAAGGAGGCCATTATTCTTAGGAAGCATGCTTCAAGTTTATGAAGAACTGGGGCATAGAAATTGTCAAGGATATTGAAGAAAGCCATCGATCACGACGGAGGCCATATCACTGGCTGACTGAAGTTGTATATCATACAAAAAATATTTTTAAGTGCGCTCTGAAAATGTTGCAAGACTTTCTGAACAGCATTGAATTGATGCTTTTTGTATGATACTATTGAATTTCAAGGTCAGAGTCAGTAATGCTGAATGTTAGGGGGGAAACATGTGCCGCTAAGAGCTCCCAAAATAATCGCTTAGTACAATATTTGCAGTGCTTAAAAATAATCTATGATGGGATCCTCTGTTCAGGAATACGCGAATATGGTCATTAGACAACTCCAACGAGTGTGGGGCCAGCGCATAAGGTTGAGACTCTACCTCGGTGAGGCATATTTTGGTACATCATAGATTCGAGTTTTCGGTTTTTTGCTGGTGTTTTTTTTTGAACATGAATGTTCTAAAGTTCGAAAAGGCAGCAAGCGTGATGATTTTTGCTACTAGGTGTATCCAATTGCTATAATTTCATGTAAATCTCTAGCTATTGTTTGTTGCCATTATCACTTTCTCCTGGATTTCAGGCTGCCCCGAAATCTTGCTATGAATTTTGGTTTTGGTTACGTCCACCTCTCTGAAAGCCCCTCCCACGATGAGGCTCCAATATCTCCTTTTTCGCCAGCATCACAATATTGATAGCAATATCACCCCTTTTCCTCGATCTAGTTTCTAGGACATCCTGGAACAGGGGTTACGATTCGCACTGCTCAGTGTGAGCGGAGCAGGCACATCCTTGGAACACCCTGAGTACGTCAGATAATGCACATAGAGCAGTTTTTTCTTCCTTCGTTTGAAACGTTTTGGAGTTGAGCCATGCCTTTTTAAAGCGGAAACCGAATATTCGGAAAAGCTCCTTCACTTCATCTGCCATCTCACTTCCTTTTCCTGTTTGTATTAGGTTGATCACAAAGTTTTGGTAGGTTTTTTGAAATGGCCGCATTTTCGATTTTTGACGTATATCCATAACCTATCATGTGACAGTTGACAACGTTTTGGGAGCTTCTCCTCTAAAGGTGTATAGGGGTACGTACGCCTACCTGAGTCTAACAAGATGTCAGTTTCACAAGGCCATCTTCGAGCCACCATCCTCTATGAGTGGCGCTGTGGCACAGGAGCGACAGCAACATTCCACAACATCAACAGCGCACTAGGGGAGAACACCACTTCCATCGCCATCATCCGTCGCTGGTTCATTCGCTTCAAAGAAGGAGACACGGGCTTCGAAGACAAGCCTCGGTCTGAACGTCCCCTCGCCATCGACGACTCCGTCATTCTCGACACAGTCACGATGATTCGGAAGTTCACACCCGCAGCCTTGCGACGAGACATGGGTGTGCCCAAATCAATCGTCGTTGGTCGCCGTCAGGCCCTCGGTTACATAAGTGCTGACTCGATGGATACCTCATGCCTTGACCGATAGCTTGCGGTACACCCGGGTGTCCATTTGTTAGTCTCTCCTTCTTCACCTACATCGCAGGGAGTTTCTGGGGGATCTAGACACTATAGATGAAAACTGGATCCTCTACGACGCTAACTAGCACGGCGCCGACGCAAGCCAAATCGGGCCTCTACCCCAAGAAGTTTCTCCTTTGTTGCTCCTGGGATCCAAAAGGAATGCTGTACTACGAATTGCTGAAGGAAGGTCAGGCCGCCACCGCTCCTTGTTACTCTGGTCAGCTGCGGAAACTTGCGGAAGCCGTTCAAGAAAAATGGCCTAGAACAACTTTGGTGCACCTCTTCCATGATAACGCTAGGCCTCACTTAGGTAAAGAAAGCCGTGCAAAATTGGAGGAGCTAGGCTGGGACACGGTTCCACATCCTTTCTATTCACCTGGTATTGCTCCTTCAGATTACCACTTGTTTCGGTCCCTGAAGGCTTTCTTAGGCAAAAAAATTCGTCCACTATGGCCACCTTGAACAAGTGGTCGGTGACTTCTTTGACTCCCAACCTTCCTAGTTCTGGGGAAGGGAATTGCTGACCTGCTCGTCAGGTGGGACAATGTTACAACTAACTATAGTTATTATATCGTTGATTAGCTTCATAGTTTGCTGGGTTGTAAAATAAAACAGAAAAACATTTCAACCCAACCGAGACTTTTCGATCAACCTAATATCATATCGGCCTCCGAGATGCCTTGCCGTCGAATCGAGGAGTTTCACCTTCAGCTCGTTAATTAAGGTGCATGCTAGCTTAGCTAAAATGTGTTTTGTACATCTGTGCCTCTGCTGCACCAATCCCAAACTCAATTCAGCCTCTTCAGGACTACAGATTTTTCTGATAGATACGCTGACACACACGTAGTATAGGGTAAGAATATTATTGAATATTTGAGGAGTTCGCTACGGCCACTTGAATGCTCCTGTTGAGATGCGTGCAATCACAGAACGCTATGTTTTCGAGGCAAGCTTTTTCACATATGTTGGGATGACAGATGGGTCTTGCGACACATGTGACATTTCTTTTCAAAACTTTCTTGTTCATATTGAACTGCATTGAACGTACAGTACACTCGCCGTAGCTTCCCACTACTTGTGCCTAACGCTTCGGCAGTTGCTCGATGTACTTCTCCCTGAACTTTGTAGAACGCTGTTCGAAAAAGCCTCAGCATGAAAAAAACATCGGAATCCTTTTCATGGAAGTAAGGTTCTGAAGTACCACATAAATGGTAGCTCTGTGATACTAGACCACGAAAATGTCTAGGCTCAGGTAGTACCTCCCAGTCATACGCTGCTGATGATCCAAACTCCAAGTGAATTTCTTTAGTTTTTTAGCGTATCTAGCGGCTGTAGCACTCCTTACTAGCAGCCTTACGTGAAACACGCTTCTGTATTTCACCAACAGCAGAGCAATATTTTTCAGTAGAAAGCAAGTTTTGCTTGCTTCAGGAGCCTGTGCCTTTTCTTTACATTTCCTGAAACTGTACAAGCGGCTGAACCTGAACCTGAGGGAGCCCCCAATACGGCAGCGTTGGGTAGGACCGCTCGGGAGAGGCTGCTAAAATCTCAGGGCCAAAACAGGCTGCCCAAAAGGAGAAGGACTAAAATGGCGATCTGTACTTTCAACGCACGGACGCTTGCATCGGAAGCGTGTATAGAAGACCTGATGATGCAAGCTAGGAAGATCAAGTACGACGTCATCGGACTGACCGAGACGAGAAGGCATCGCCCGCTGCACGCTGTATATGAGACTGGAGAAGAACTCCATGGAACATGCGACAGTAGAGGCGTCGGCGGCGTAGGTGTCCTCGTCAACACGCACTTGGCCATGAACATCGATTCGTACGAAAGCTCAACAACCCGAATCGGACGTTTGCGATTAAGAAGATGCGGCTCAATCCCAGCTCTAACCATCTTCGTTGCTTTCGCACCAACGTCGAGCTACGAAGAAGAGGAGTTGGAAGCGTTTTATATGGATCTGGAGAGGCTCTACAGAGAAGACCACACTTTCTTCAAGGTCATCGTCGGTGATTTTAACGCCAAGATTGGCCCCAGAAGAACGGCTGAAGAGCTTCACATCGGGACTCACGGAGTGGAATGGAATGAGCAGGGTGAAAGGCTGTCCGAGTTTATCATGACGACCCACACCATCCATGGTAACTCGCAGTTCCAGAAGCCCTCTCATTTAAGATGGACATGGGAGTCACCTGGTGGACAGTTCCATAATGAAATAGACCACATCATCTTCAATCGGAGATTTTGCCTGACCGACGTCGCTGTTGTTCCGAAGTTCTACACGGGATCGGACCATCGTCTCCTCCGCGCTAGATTCCGCTTCTCAGTGCGTGGGGAGAGAGCTATGAAGTTTCGGAAACGAAGCCCCAAGACCTCCATCAACTGGGACCACTTCGCTTCCCTTGCGAGTAAATGGGAGGATTCCGTTATCGACAACATCGACGAAGAATACAACCGGCTCGTCGAGCATCTTCACGATAGTGCTACGAAAGCAGAGAGTCTACAAGTAGCCAAGA